ATGGAAAAAGCCTTGAAGTTTTCAGTGAACAGACAACAGAAGCTTTACATGCCAATTTCAATGTGCACTGGGAAGGATACAAGAGACAACCAAGCCACCCAGAGTATGGTCATAATTTGCTCAAGCGAGTTCTCGACTACAATTGTAAGAACTTGTAAAGAATTACAAAAGGTCAAGTCTTGCTCAATAACCACAAAACCATCAAGAAGTCAATAAAATACCAAAAGAATAATATTTAAAAAAAAGAAGTATTTTGTAGAAAAGATTTGGAAAATTTTGTGCATCATTTTGTCTCCGAGTGAAGTTTTTTATGTACCTTGTGTTTCTTTTGTAATTTATTTTGATGGAATTATTAAAAAACTTTTAGAAAATTAAATTTTAGGAAACGTATATCTTTTTCAGGTGAATTATTGCTCATAGGTATACTCGAAAGAGGTACATATACATACGTCAAATATTTAAATAAGCAGTAATTTTATTTATCAATTTCAAAGTGAAATTTTCAGCTTGGACGTCAATAGAAGATTTAAATTTTTTATGTTTTAGGTACCCAACGGTATATACGTTGTTCCTTCAAAAGGACAACAACAAACCTTTTGGTCATGTTTCATATAATTTTTACAGAATGTGAATGTGTGATGTATGAGTAAATTATTACATAATTAAAAATTAAAAATGATCCTCTGCTATTTCTTAAATATATAAATGATATCCATTTATTCTCCAATTTCCTAATTTTTATTCTTTTTGCGGATGATACTAATATCATACGCAAAAAGAATAAACCTTTCTGGTAACAATTTAAAGTTCGATTTTCTAATGTTAATACTAAACTAGTAAATATCAACGACTGATTTAAAGCTAATAAACTTTCCTCAAATAATGATAAAACGAAACACATTTTTTCACAAAACCCTTAGAATCTGATATTTTACCACTTAAACTTCCAGATTTATTTATAAATAATATTAAAATAAAAAAGCTCCATTCAATGAAAATTTTAGCCAATATTGTTTGATGAAAATTGAAATTGGAAAAATCATGTTATATTAATAGAAAATAAAATCTCTTTAATTTTAGTTTAAAACGAGGCACTCGTTTCATATCTATTTGCATTAACTTTTAATGAAAATAGATATGCATACGCCAAGCCTTTATTAAAAAAAATTAATGCTTTAAATGTATACAAACTAAATATTTATCAAACCCTTTTGTTTATGTTTAATATTAAACTTTTTAACCATTTTTTTTAACCATTTAAGAAAACTCCAAAACAACATTTGTTAAATCTAACCAATAAAAACATTTTTTGAAAAAAACTCGTTTTGCTACGTTTAACTCTTAAAAATGTAAAAACTAATTTTATACTTACATATTTATGAGTTTAAACGTGTAAATAAAGTAATCTATTTACCTAAAGAGCAAGGTGACAAGAAGTATTGTGTTTTGCTAGCTCCTACCATAACTTAAAGAATATACTTTACTTTTACAAGTACATTGTAAAATTATTTGTTCATTGACGAATTATATATACAAATGCAAACTAATTCACGTCAGGTCAAGTTCAGGATCATCACAATCACCCAGCTACTGGTATCATATAATTTGCCCTATGCCCTGCTACTATGTAGGATTTGCTTTTTTTAAGCAAAAGCTAGGAAATACAAACTCTATTTTTATCAAGATCACCATCTTGGACAGATGTTAACTGCAAACTCAACTTTGTAAAAGGCCCCTTTAGACTAAGGTTTTTGGGGTAAACAGAATATTTCTTCTGTTCTGCCAAACCTTACATTGTGTTACAGTGAAAACCTTACATTGTGTTACAGTGTTACATTTTTTCTTGTCTATAATGAGAAATGCTAGATCTCATAGATTTTTGCATGTGTCTTCTTGATAGTGCTACACAACTCTACCTTTTATCTTTTTATGAGAGTACAGCTCTAAAACTCAGTTTAATGATTCTGAGACCGGCTGGTAATAAGGTTTCCCAAAATCTGTGGTAGCTCTTATAGATACTGATTCTATCAACAGCTGCAAAATATTAGAGTTTTAACAGTACCATTTTGCACTTGGATGGTTTCCCTGTAAATGCTTTAGGCGATTTACATAAGAAGCTCTAAGTTACGAATTTGGGTTTCTTAACAGAACTGAGACAACTGCAAGCTGATTGCTTTGGGTGCCGTGCTCTATCTATAAATGAGTCAGGTTTTCATTAAGCTTAAACAATACCTATAGTAACCAAAAATATTAAACATAAAAATCATCCCCAACATCTAACTGTCTCTATATATCTTTCAAAATATTCTGGTCTTCGAAATAATCTTCCGCTAGTTGAATCTTACCTCTGTTATATTCACTAGTTGAGACTTATCTCTGAATGTAAGACATTCAAATCACTCCAACTTCCGTTGCTAAAATCATTTCTCAATTAAACTCTTTTACGGCTTGTGGTCCAGACAACATTCCTGTCTTAGTCTTACAAAAGTGTTCTCCAGAACTCTCTTTGGTTCTCTTTAACTATTTAATAAGTGACTAAAATTCGTTTTCCTTACTAAGAAAAAGCTTGACTAAATTTCGTTTTCCTGCCTGCTGGAAAATGGTATCTGTAGCTCTAATTTTAAAAATTCTGGAGAAGATTCTGACTCCTCCAATTATCGTCCGATCAGTTTTATTTTTGTTATTAGCAAGGTCTTTGAGTTAACAAGTTTCTAACATTCTATTTTCAAATAACTGTCAGACAATTAATACGATTTTCGATCTTCTTGCTCTATGGTTGGCTTGCGAACTCCTGTGAACAAAAATTTTTAATTGTGCGTTAGATGGAGACGACGAGGCTAATGCTATTGTTCTTCATTTGCTTGCTTTATATAGTGTATCTGGAAAACTCTTTGAGATTATCAAACCGTTTCTAACTAAAGGCTTTAACAAAGTCATCCTCAAAAGCCAACAGTCTTCTTCATTTCCTAAAATTTTATTTCTCTGATCGTTGTAAGGTTGCTTCTCTTTATCTTTTCTACAAATACTATCATAGTCGCAGCTTAAAAAAGCTATTATTTTTAAACAAAAAGTTCCACCAACCAAACTTATTATCAGTTTACTAGTCATTCTGCGAAGTCTCATCATTTTACTGAATGTCTCTGCATCCTCTAATAACTTTTTTTTTTCGTCTCCTTCCTTACCCATAATGCATATATAGTCAAATGTTGTGAACCGGCTTTGAACCAAAGACCTCCAGTTCTAAAACTAGAACTATAAGCACTACAAGTTCCTTGGTTTAAAGTCATTTTATATGCCATTTTTACAGCGGTAAGGAAGGAGGCGTGAACTTCTTTTCAAATGCTCATCCGCGGTGCTATTTGATTAAGACCGTAAAGACTTCTTGGGGTACCTAAAAATTAAAATAAAAAAACTTAAATAGGTATAGAACAATTTTGGTTTGAAAAGGTTTGGGCAGACTTTTTTTCAATTAAAAAAAAGTATTTCAAATTTTTATTTAATAGGATTTATGAACTAAATTAATTTATATTTAAAGATAAATAAACTAAATTATACTGGATTTTAAATTCAGGTAAAGTAGTCAAAATAATTAATAACGACGAATTAATAACGAAATAATAACTTTAAGTTTAAGTGAGCACTAGTGCTCACTTAAACTTATACGAATTTTTAATTTGAGATCAAATAATAAGTTAAAGTGCTTTAACTTATTATTTAATCTCAAATTAAAAATTCGTATGCGCGTATAAATATAAACCGCTAAACGTGTTTTGTAGGTTGTGTAGCAACCGTAGTTGTATAGCAACCGGTAATATCGAAAACGGGCATTTAATGCCCGTTATCAAATAAATTTTATTCCTGATGTAATAATAAATAGTAATATCATTTATTAATAAATAATAAAATTATTTATCATTTCATCAGGATTATTTGCTAATATTATTCATATAATACATAATGTTATTTGTTAAAATATCAGGAAATAAATATAAATGATAATAATAATAATAATATATATAATATATATATATATATATATATATATATATATATATATATATATATATATATATACATATATATATATATATATATATATATATATATATATATATATATATATATATATATATATATATATATATATATATATATATATATATATATATACATACATATATAAATATATATATAAATAAATAAATTTAATATATATATATATATATATATATATATATATATATATATATATATATATATATATATATATATATATATATATATATATATATATATATATATATATATATATATATATATATATATATATATATGTATATATATATATATATATATATATATATATATATATATATATATATATATATATATATATATATATATATATATATTAAATCAAATCAAATATTGGTTTGATTTGATATATGTTTAATTTTCACCCTATTGATTAATTTAGTACTGTTACACTTAAGTATGGCACTGTTTCCTTGAAATATCTGTGTTATCTGTTGTGTTATTATTCTCATTTTATATATAGTTCTTAATTTGTTATTACTTTTTTTACTTGGTTTAGAAAACTATATATGCTTATTCTTAGTCCACTGGTCTTTTTTCTTTTTTTATTCCTTTAAAATAAAACACTCTAGTTTTATTATTTTGTTTAACTAAATAACCATAATAATAAAAATTATTACTATTATTTTTATTGTTATTATTACTGTTATTGCTATTATTATATTTTATTATTGTTACTGCTAACTATTTATTACTATAAATAATTCTATCATCATGATGTTTATAATAATATCATAAGTCTTAGGTTAGTATATTTCATATATTTTATTGAAATTATTGTGATTAATAGCAATTTTTCATGTTTTTGTCAGTTTATAAATGTTTGTGAAAATTTCTTGTTTTTAATATATACTATAAATTGAAATAAATGGTTGATTGGGGAATAAATAGTTGATTTTAGTGACATTTAGCCTATTACTGTCAATTATGAATAATATTGTTAAAATAAATGGATAATGAACAATGTTGTTGTAACATGTAGGTAACAAAGTCAGTAACTAATAAATATATTGGAAATTAAATTTAAAAAGATAACAATGGCTGCAAAAGTAAATGAGCTGGTAAGTATGCCAGAAGTTTTAAAATAATTAATTTCTTTCTTAATTCTTTGTTATTCTTTTTAGTAAATTTTTTTTTTTAAGGCAAATAATGATTATGAAGCAACACTGCCTGGTCATGGTGCAAAAACATCTGATTATTATCAAACAGAGAGTCTCCCTAATAAATTTAATAATCCAGGTATTAAATTTGTTTTCTTATTTCCAGATATTTGTTGTTATTTCTCTGCAATATATATTATTTATATCAAATTTTTATTTTCAAGATTATCAAGTTATAGTTTCAAAGGTATTAAAATAGTGTCATTTTTAAATTTATTAGATGTTTTCAAAGGTTATGGTTCGAAACAATCTAATCCAATGTATATAACCAGTGCAAATGAATATGGGTAAATCAGTTTTAGGTTTTTATTGTAGATAATTTACATTTAAAAACTTTTCAAAAATATTTTACAACTTTTAGACTATTTTATAGTTACATGTTTAACTCTGATTAGTATCAACAATTTTTGTACATGGAAATTTATAAATATAAAGTTTTTTAACTGAGATTTGTAGCTGCAAATAATACCTACTCATAACAGTAAAATCTGTTGGGTGAATAAATAATAAAGTAACTTATAATAATAATAAAAGTAGTTTAGGAAAAGATATTTAAACTGGGCCACAATATGTTCACCAATAATGTTTTGGAAAGCCTGTTAAAAAAAAATCTCATCAGGAATGCATTTTTGCTATCTTTATTAACTTCTGTAGCCTACATCCTATCATTCATTATTGCAAGAATTTTGCTTCAACCTGAGTTCATGGTTCAACTCCCACTATAAGCATAAAAAAGTTTTTTATATATTTTTTTAAAGTTCTTTTAGGCGTTACAAATGATTCATGATTTTCCCTTAAAAGTCTAATGTTTATTGTTTAGAGTCTATTGTTTCTACTGCATGCATGGTGCTTATATTCTATTGTTACCTTTATTATACACTTAACTATTGTGTCTTTATTTTGTTCTTAGCATTTGTTCAATATATCTTTTTTAATTTTATAATTCTTCCTATATTCCTAATTTGATGCATATTTTTGCATTTTTTTGAAATGTGTGCATATCCACAGACGTGACAAATTTACCTCAGGCGTGACATTATGAATAGTATTGCTTTATGCTGTAACAGCTATAAGTGTCTGTCAGGTAATTTACAAAAATAATAACCATCTTTAATCAACAATTTTTAATAGTTGACATAAAATAGTACATGGTACAAGTTTTTACAAAATTTTAAGTATTATTAGTAAGTAAATTAGCAAATATTTTTGAATGGTAAAGTCTTGTGGAAATTGATATTGCTCCCTGCTTTTGAGGTTCAGCTGACACAATCTCAACACTACATCACTCTTATCAATGACAGAGATTTGATCTTTCTCTGGAATTGGAAAAAATTCATGACTATCAAAAACTTTAAAAAATAGTTGAAAAATACATGATCTTCTCAAAAACTTTATGACAAACTCATTTGCACATAAGGCTTGAATTAGCCCAACATAGTATTTCACTTTTTTTTTGATGTTTGAAACTTGACAATCACAAAATCATTGGTTTTAATAGACAAGCTGTCCTCTCATTATCGCTGTAAACACTGTGGTTACTTAGTCTTGTCAATTTCTTTTCATTTACCTGGTCCTTGGGATTCATGAGCCAAACATTTGGATGTTGTTTCTTCAGCTGGCGTTTTTTTCATTTTTAAGAATTGTTGACCTGCTAAACTATGTTAAGGAATTTCTTAAAACAGAGGAACAAAAAATTATTAATGAAACAGAAACAAGCTAAATAACTATTTTACAATAAAGATTTCATGCACAGCTTATTTTAATCTTTAATGAAAATACTAGAGTTACTGAAAAACTAAATATTAATCAAACTTTCTTACTGACTAAATAACTAGAGAACATTTAATAAATGCAAAAGTTTTCAAAATTCAGTATAACCAAATATAATATTTAACATTATATTCAATATAATACAATATTCAATATAAGTAAACTTAAGTTTCTAAAAGCTATACATTAAAAGATACAAGGATCTGTCAAAAAATCGGCAGAGATTAGTACTTCTCCAATATTATAGTGTTGGCATTTTGTATCATTGTCACATACAGTGCATGTCAACCTTCTCATATACAATGTTTCTTTTTTAGTGGAACTCCAAACCACCTCATGAACCTGTAAAGTCCCCTTGAAAGTTATTAGGTTTTCCGGTACACGTTTCTCATAGAGATTGAAATCTGTGTTGTTAATAGTATAGATGGTTATACTTGGACACTTTTCTTTTATTTCTTCAACCAAATAAATAATATCAGGAATATCTTTCCCTGATCCAATCAATCTATCTGTGGTTCTTTTGCTATAACCTCCTATTTTATCAGGGGAACCTTTTCCATGCCCTTTTTGAAATGCCACCTTATAATCTTAGCTCCAAACTCTTTTTGAAAAAAAGCACCAACCAAATAGAACATGGACTTGTTTTGGTACTGTAGAGAAATGCTATCACTAAGAAAATGAACTGTTTTAATGACAGGCAGCTTTTCTTTTAAGTCAATAATAACAGGCTTTAAATGAGCACAGATTCCAACAAAGTCATGACTCCTGTTATCTGAAATTGTACAGTAAGATTTTGCCTTTATTTTGTTTTCAGAAATACTACAATAGTATGCCATAACTGTATGGATTGACATTTGGTTTCTTTATCCTCCAAAGTGGAGTTTTGATTTCTTTTGAGTATTTGCAATTATAATTTTCTGAAAAGTCACAATGAATGAAAATATCCCTAGGCCCTAACTTATTTTTTATTTCTGATATAGCTTTGTACTGGTGTTTTATATTGCATACATGCTTCATAAACTTTTCTAGTAAGTTGTTAATAAAATGCAAATACAGCTCTTTTTTAGTTAATTTTAACTCTTCTTTTACAGTTTTAAAACATGTCTTCATTTTATCTTTATCAACTGTTCAACACTTTTTTTTAGACCATTAAAGAAATGTTACTTTTTCATTCATATCATTCTCAAATTCTTTACAAACTATTTTTTTGTTTAAAATGCATACTCCACATTTCCTTTCCAGGCATGATTCTCTCAGCTCGCCGTCACATGTTATACTTTTTAGCAAGTCAGTAGGATATTTTTATGCCAACAACTTAAGACTATACAACTATTCAAAAATCAAAGAAAAATTCTCATGGTCAATGCATAGACAAGTATCTCGTTTACAAAAGTCTGGTTGAACAACCAAAAAGGGTCTTAATTTGCAAAATGTGCTATAAGACCTTGACTTGAGCTCAGTTATTTGTTTGAACTCATTCCACAAATTCAAGATTGTATCATGTAATAGTCTTTTTTTTTTTTCATTTTGTTTCTTGTTATTGTTTCTTTTTTCCCAGCAGTTAGCCTACTGGAACTATCTTTTTTTTAAAAGTTCTTTTTAGCTTTTAGCCCGCTTCTTTTTGTAGACATTTATGTCTATTTCATTTTCAATAGGAATGTTTACAGTTGGACGTTCAGCTGGTGTAGACAAATTTTCAATAAGTTGCTGTCTCTTCTTTTTCATTTCCCAACTTCTCTTAGTCCTTTCTTTCCAACCTTTTCTTACTGATTTTTTACTGATCTCTTTCTGAAAGTTCATGAATTTTTTTTCGTGTTGCTTTTTTTCTTTAAATAGTCCGTTTTTGTTCTTCATATTTGTCTGGGTTTTCAACTTTCATCTTCTCCCTCGCTTTCCGCATACTTAGTTTTTTCAATTCTCTAGTTTTTCCTATCTTTCTCATTTTTTTTTTAACTGTAAGTAAAGAAAAATTATAACTATCTGGATAGAAACATTTATCTTTTCAAAAATATTTAACTAGCTATTAGAGCAAAATTTTAAAAGTTTAAAAATGCTAGGTACAGGTATAATTGTCATTTGTTGTCACATCCGTTCCATGTGTGTCATGTCTGTTGCTTTCTGTACACCACAGGCGTGACATCCACAGACGTGACAAATTGAAGGAAAAACCCTAAAAAGAGTCCTATGTTTTGAGGCTTGGACTCTGTTCCCCATGGAGTAAATATGTCTAGTTAATTGCTATGAAACAAAAGTATTACTTATAAAAAAGTAAAATTATTTACCCCAAGTGTGTTTGCCACAGATGTGACACACTAAGACTAACAAATTCAACTTTTAAAACTTCAAAACTTTAGCACTAAACAACTACACCAAAAATTCCCCTACTATTACTCATTAATAAAAATGTCTGATAGTTTAGCAAGAACAGCAACATAGAGAACTACTGCTGCCTCCTACAGCTTTTTTTTGGAATTAACAACTCTATCCACAGACGTGACATTTAAGGTGGTGACAAGAGCTTCAATTACATCAAAGTTACTTTAAAAATATGTTTTGAGGAAAATATTATGTCAACTCAAATTTTAATGTATTCTTGATTATTTATTATATATTAAAACAAAAGTAAAGTAACAACAACAAGGTTTAAACTTCTTGGCATTAGAAAAAAGTCTGGGTGGTGACATTCCACGGACGTGACTTGTCACAGTCTGTGGAACATTATTCACTGAAAATACTATTTTGGATTGGTTTTCATCAGTTTAACATTGTATAAGCTGTATATTGTTATTTGCACCGGTTTAAAAAAAAATAGTATTAACTTAAAAAAAAATTAGTGGGGAAAGTATATTGCTACTTTTTTGGAGAATGATATTATTCTTCCTATAACTTTTAACTATAACTATAACTATAACCTATAACTATAACTTTTTTGGAGAATGAGAATGGAGCATTTTTTTGAAATGTGTGTGTGTGTGTGTGTGTGTGTGTGTGTGTGTGTGTGTGTGTGTGTGTGTGTGTGTGTATTACTTTATGAGCTATGATTGTTGTTGTTTCTCTTTTTTATTATAGCATCAGAATTCCACTTTTTGTCCATTAGCTTAAATAATGGACAATAACTCTTGTGTCATAAATCTATTTAAATTACTATAGAATAAATAGGCCATGTTATAATTTTTCATCTGTAAAATCTAGATTTTCTGGTTCTAGTTAAAATAAAATTAATTTATCTAGAAAGAATTGAGTTTATAAAAAGCCACTTGTTAGTAATCAACCCTGCTAAGTAGCAAATAGGAGTGTACAGTTTCAAATAGTAGCATACCAATTATGAATCACTAATGTAGCACATTTTTTAATGGTTAGAGGCACCCATTAATTTTTTCAACAAAATATGGAAAATGGGAGGTTTGACAAACTATGAGAATTATTTACATGGGGAAGGAAAAAAGTTCAAGATAAACTGACAAAAATAGGAAATTTGTTTTTTTGGTAATACCAATGCAAGAACTAGTGTTTTTTTTTTTTTTCTTGCCTGTCAAGAGCCCACAAATTTACTCCTGAACTGGTTGAGCTCTTGCCAAGGAAGGCATAAATCATGCACCATTATAGGTATTTTTATAATCTTTTCTTTCACTTGACCAGAAACTTGTCCACAAATTTGATATTGATTTGTTACATCGTCAATATATTTGCATAGTGCAATGTAATAGCACTAAAAGCACTCTTTTTTTAAAGCGCAGCTGATTGTGTTGTTGGTTCAAGTCTTCAGGAAGATTTTTTTAAATTTTTATGTTTTGTTTCTAGAAGGTCATTATTTTTACGCTTGTAAAAACAATGTTCTTACTACATTGTCGCTCACACTATTTGCGCGCTCGTACAAATGATGTTTACAATTAAAAAATTTTTTTTTTTAAAAAAGTTTAAATTCTTTAATTCTTCTCCTCATTAGTATAGTGGTATGGTCCTGTGGATGTATTATCTATCTAATGTTAGAGCGCAGCCAACAGAGTTGCTGATTCAATTCCTCCCCAGCAAACCTTTTTTTTTAACTGTAACTTGTTTTATTGATTATGATAAAACAATGTTGGCATTAAATTGCACTTCATATATAACCAATATTGGAAATCAATATTTGCTGTATATAAATCAAAATGTGGACATTTTATTATTTCTGTGATTTTGTTAACAACATTTAGCCAACTTTGAGATAAATATTGTAATAATGTAATTTGCTACTAAGGAGCTTAATCACAACTCTTCCCCTTATTTCTTGTAGCCTAAAAACTGAAAATAAAATGTAGCAAATAAAATAGAAAATGAAATAGAAAAAAATATATAGCAAAAACATTTGCTAAAAAATATTATCCTTTTTGTACAAAAGTGTAGTATTAATGTCCAGAATGTTCAAAATTATTGAATATAAATCAAGAATGGATAAACCAAACTGTCATCATTTGTTGTTTGAATCCTATGTGAAGGTGTTTTGTTACAAGCCTAAGCAGGATTGTCAAAGGGAAGTAATTGGTATTTGGAATAAGTTAAAGTAGGAGTATATTTTGTTAGCAAACTCATCATCAGAAAAAATGTTTGGAAACGACTGTTGAAACGACCTAAAATATTTTGTGGAGTAGCAGCTATGGGAAGCGCAACCTTCACAATTGCTGGAATGTCATATATGGTATATATGTTTTTCCAGGATGCATAAATAACCAAAAGTCAACTGCAGTGTTAACATGTGTTTTAATTGGGCTATATACTGATTTGTCCAATGGTTGTAGTTTGTGTGTGTAGTGTGGTGGAAATATCAACATCACCACTCCATTGTCTTTGCAAAGTCTAAACCTTCAATGCTTAAGTGTGTCTTGTGGTTGTCAAGCAGTAGAAGACAGGGTCTGACTTTAATGCACCTTGTGTTCATTATAAAGTGTTCTAGATTTTTATAAAGTCAGCTTTTTAATAAAATGATATTTAAAATGAAAAAAGGAAAAATGGATAATGAAGGAATACTATTGCCAGTATTATTACTGTGCAAGCAAGTGTAACTAGTACTCCTCTTTCAGCAGAAGTAATGACCCTGATCTGCTTTATACCTCGTCTTGCAATAACTTTATTAGGTTTCTGTACTGTAGTAACTGATGTTTTGTCCATATTACATGTTATTAGGAGAAAATGAATAATGTCCAAATGAATAATGTCCATTGTTTTAGATTGTCAAAGAATAGTTTCACATTTACTTTATTGACACTAGAAGCTCTACTTAAACTGGTTTCTTCAGGCTGTATGATAGAGATCTGTGGGTTGCCCTTCATAAATGCAGTAAACCAATCTTTTCCTGCTTCTTTTAATTTCATCCAAGATTCTAGAACAGAAAGAGAATTTTTTTCTGCCAGTTAAAAAGCCAGTTTTTTTACTTCTTTAGGAGACAATCCAAAATACATTTCAGAAGCCTGCAAAAGATATGCGACCAGTTCTTTTTCAATAATGTCTGGCAACACTAATATTTTGAGACTTCTCTAGTATGTCAGTCAGGGTTAGTTTCTTGCAATATCTTGCTAGAGTTTATAATTTATTCCATAGTCTTTTGCTACCCATCTGATAGAGTTGGCATTCATTTTGACATCTTCAATGGTTCGTAACATTGTATCTTTAGGAATGTTGTCTTTATTTGATTTTCTACAGAATTGTTGGGGCATTTCTGAAGGAAAAAACAAACATATTCATTATGTAAAATATTTTTATTTAAAAAGGTTCATGGGTTCATGAGTTGTCACAGTGTGACAACCATCCCCAAACAAAATGTGACAAGCAACCCCTTACTTTACTGCATTTATGAAGGGCAACCCACAGATCTCTATCATGCAGCCTGAAGAAACCAGTTTAAGTAGAGCTTCTAGTGTCAATAAAGTAAATGTGAAACTATTCATGACTAATAATATTTTTAGCTTGATTTTACTTAGAAGCATGTGCTTTAGTTGATTTAAGTTCATAAATTGGTGAACTAGCTAGATTAATCAATATTAAAAACATCTATTATTTACTAAATTCGGTAGAAGAAAAACACAAAATATAAAAAATTTTAATTAGCAAGGCTTAAAATGAAATTTTTGCAATAACTTTTTTTGTAATGGTCTGATCAACTTGAAATCAAGTGGACAGATAAACGTTGCTAATGCTCATTAAACAAGTGATTCAAAAGTTTCGCATCTTTTATAGTCTTTTTAAGTTAAGCGTTGTGACAACCAACTCGCATGACAACCAATTCCGCTCTTCCTTATGTTGGAAGAATTTTTTAGTTACAAAGTAAAATTAGTTTGACTTGTCTCAAATTGAATACATCAAACATTAACATACAAGAAATAAGTTGTTAAATCATCTTGAAATAAAACTTGGCATAATTCATCAAAGCAAATAATTTTATTATAAATGTGTTTCAGCGGTTGTTAATATTAATGTTTGTGGATTTTTTGTATGATATAAATTTATGTGTGTGTAAAAAAAGGATTGCATTTATAAAAAAAAGTGAAGTTATTTTAGCAAAGATAAAAAACATTTTCTCGTTATGTTTGGTGCAAGAAAATGACAAAAACAGCTTGATTGCGTTTTTTTTATATACGTTTTTAAATAGATTTGGAACAGACAGTTTGCTCATTGCGTTTCCTATTTAGGTGGCATATCTTATGCAGTCTTGCGCCTTGGTGGATTGCTAAAATTTAACATCAAGCGGTATCAGTGTTAGTTTAATTATATTGTGTATTATGATATTGTGTATATATTCTAACCATTAAAACTTAATTTGTGTTATTTTTCTGAAAGTAAACTGAAAGTAAACAGACTTTTCTGAAACTCTTTACAAAATAAAAAAGTCTGAAAAATAACAAAAAGTACTACATTGTAAAGAAGTACTGCAAAAAGTAATGAAGTATTGTGATAAAGTAAATTTTCTTTGTTATATTCTAAACCTGCATATAAATGAAGATTTACATTTATTTAAATTGGCTACAAATGTAACAATAGAATAAAGAGTTACAAAAGACCAAACACAAACTAATAAACAAGACCAAAATGAAATCAATTTAGATGCTTTTTGTGCCGCAAAATCTAGCAAGTGCAAAACAAAAGCCCCAAAATAAAGATGGTCTAAAGTTGTTACAAATTTAGACCACCTTTATTTATTCAAGTCCAATATACAAAGCCACAGGAGTTCTTCCATATGATCTATACTGTCCTTCCATTTAATTTTTGTTGTTTTTATTTAGTTGTCATGTTAAAAAAGCATGTTCAACAGTGCAGACAGTGAGATCTTTACCAGCAATTACTACTCCTCAATCGCAATGAACTTGGCTAATGCGAGTGGGTGTCAAAAGACAGAGAGAGCTTGTTGCAAATATTGTTCATAGAATAATCAAGCATAGTATGATAAAATAAAGATAATGTTGACTTATTGGATGTTTAAATTCCTTGAAATTGATAAATCAGACACTAAACCCATCATAGCAACTGAGAAACACTTGGCTTCCCATGGGAAGATGAAAGAATCTAGAATATAAAGACTTGATTTTTTAATAAATTTGAAATGATATAGTTATTTTTAAATCTAATACCAAGTTAAGAAATGTATTAAAGTTTATTTGACAGTAGACTTTTTAATTTCTAAAATTCAATTTTTTAGTATAAATGCCTGCTATATAAAATCTTAGTAAAGTTTGTAGAGGGAAAAAACAAATTTTTTATAACTTTATTAGGTGATTACAAAAAGTTCAATAAAAGTTTACAAGGGTGAGTGAGGGATAACAAATTGCTATAAAACTGTTGACATAATTAATACACTGTAGTATCCTTAGTACATTGAATTTAGTATAAATTAATGAAAATTTAATTGAGATAATAAAAACGAATTAACTAACAAAAATTTTATTGAAATAAAACTAGTCAGGAGGTTTCTAAAACACTTAACTTGTTTTTCAGCAAAGGTCTTGTTTGACAGGTTTTATAATCCTGGGGAGAAATCAGGTATTTTAGGTGAGTGTCCAGTAATTTTGTTGTTCAAGATAGGCAACTAAGAACCACCCTGTATACTCAAATTTCTAGTATGTTGATACTGGTATCAAATGAGGATGACTGACAAAGGTTTTAGGTAATTGGAGCTAACCAAACCCCATTCTAATCCCTAATTGCCCCCTTCCTAGAACTATATCTCCTAAGATCATAAAAAAGAAGATATTTTGAATAAACTTGCAAAAAGACTTATTTATCCAGATTGAAAATTTATTAGGTGATTACAAAAAGTGTTAAATGTTTAAGTGTAACAAGAAATTCCACATCACTGTACAAAGTTAGAATTTGAAGGCCATTGTAAGATTAACATCCTGTACAACATGAGGAAAAGTTCTATCCAGTACTATTAAAGGTTTAGGTACCAATGAATCAGGGAACACTCTAGCTTTGAAAACTTTTGGTTTAAAGCAACTTGTTGTCTCTGTTGGAAAGACTGAGGTTAAGAAATCTTTCTTTTCTTTGAATAAATTGAACAAACTTCAACTAAAACTAAATTACCAGATTTAGTGAGGATTTGATGCTTAATTTTTTTTTTTAATAATTTGCTTATAAAAATGCAAAATTTACACAAATGTTAATAATAAATCAACCTCCATTATTAACAGGGAACAAAAAAAAAAAAAATCAAGCTTCTAAATATTCCTTGTCAACATATTCTGTTAGACAAAATTTTAAAAGAGATTGAAAAAAATTTGTTTGAAAACAAAAAGTTGGTGTTACAGTTTGGCAACCAATATCTGTTTACGATAAACATCTGTAGATGATAGCATTGTTTAGAAGGCAATGCTTCAATAATTGCTTAAATACATAGACATAGACATAGTCACATTAAATACATAGACATAGACATAAACACAGCAAGATCTCTAAGACTGAACTATTTTCAAGAGTCCAGTCTTAGAGATCTTGCTGCCAAATACATTAAGGCACTTAGAAATTTTGAAAAAATAATCCATGGCTGTTTTGGAGAATCATTAAGCTTCTTATGTCAAAGATTTAGAGCAGCTCTCTATGAGCTATAGAAATCCTTTGATTATTTGACTATTTGACTCTTTTGATAGTGTTGAATTTTATCAAAAAATTTTACGGCCATTCAAAGTCAGAGTGTAAATAAGAGGAATTTTAAACTTCTTATGGTTTTTATATTTAAATCTTAATTCGACATATTTTATATTTAAATCTTTTATATTTAAATTCTTATGGTTCTTATATTTAAATCTTAAACGAAAGGAGATTTTTTGATGAAATTTGAAATTTGTATATAAATTTTGATCTAATTCATAATAGAACTTATAAAATTTTTTTATGATCTTAGGAGTCATAGTTCTAGGATGGGGGCAATTAGGGGTTGGGACAGGGTTAGGTTAGCTCCAATTACCTAAACCTTTTGCAAGTCATCCTTATTTGATACCAGTATCAACATACGAGAAATTTGAGTATGCCGCATGATTCTTAGTTACCTTTCTTGAGCAACAAAATTACTGGACACTCGCCTAAATTACGTGATTTCTCCACAGGCCCCCGTTAAAAAAAGTTGTTTTTTATATTTTTGGAATAAGGAAAAGTCTTCTGGTAAAAAACAATAAAATTTCTGGTTTCTGTTTCGATGGAAAGTTTTTCCCGAGGATATTGAATCAAGTTTTACCAGAAAACTTACATCACTAGTAATCATGCATTAAAAATAGGCGAGTACACTAATTAGCTTGTTCAGTGGTTAGTTTGTTCAATTTGCAAATGTTTATTTTATAAACATTTTTCTTTTTTTTTCTTTTCCTAAATGTACTCTCTTTAGAATTTATCTTTAATTATTAATTTTTTTGTAAAAACAGAATTGTAATTGATTTATTAATATTATAGAAGTCATCCACCAACTGTTCATACAATGCCATATGCGTTTCATTCTAAAAATCAGAAGTTCTCTGAGCATCTTGGACAGTGTGGAATGTATCGCAATTACTCTTTGAATACATCTGTTGACAAGAATCCTGTATCTAGTCACCGAGATGGCCTTTTCTAAAATTGTTTATGAAAGATATGAATATGTAATTTATGATATATAATGTAAAATGCATTTTTGATTTCATTTATTATAATTAATATATTACATTATGAAAATATGTAAGCATTGATTTTATGTTCAGATAATTCCTGTAACTCAGTTACAGGAATAATCTTTATTTACTTTATTACACTGGAGACATAAAAATTTATATTTCAATATTTAGCGCAATATTTTAATATTTTTTAACAACATAAATTTAATTTATGTTGTTTTTTTAGAAAACTTTAATGAAAACAAATCTAAATATTGGAATAACTGATTAAGGTTTGGAATAACTGCTAATAAAATCTTTGGTTTTTTTAGTAAAATGTCAAAAAATTGTTTTTTAACTCGTTTTTTACTATTATTCTTTTTCATTTGTATTACCTCTTGTGTTGTTTATTAATACAAACCATTTTAAAATTAATATATAGTATTTAAGATTTTTTAAGAGCTATCAAAAGTTGTTTTCCTTAAAAAATGCCTTAGCAGCAAAACTAAAACTGTTATTTAACTCAAAAATCTTAGCATTTTCTAATAAGTCGCTTCTTTTTTATAAGTGGCACTAAAAGAGTTTTTAGCTAAGTTTTAAGTTGAATTAATGATATATGTTCAGTTTGACAAAGCTCGCGTAAAGCAAAACTCAATATAAAAGATTATAAAACAATGAAAAAAACACACAATCTAAATGAAACTAATAAATACGTTTCTGCAAATATAATTTAACTTTAAAAATCTTAAAATTTGTTTTTTACAACTTTTTTATTTTTATAATACTGGTATATAAAAAATAAAAAACTAATATCGTAATAGTAATATCTAACGTAATATCTAAAGTAATATCTGAATATTTGTGAAAATAATTTGGCTACAGTAATTTGGTTGATAGATGTGATTATAAATATTCCTTTTCAATACTATTTTATTACAATACATTTTCAATACTATCTTATTACAATACATTGTTTAAAAATTGAAACTATTTTTGGAATCGTATTTAAGACATAATAAATTTTTTACTTTTTTTTTTTGTTTTGCATTAAGTTTAATAGATTCAATTTATTTTGGTTGCACAAATCTTTAAAATCATCCTTAAAAGGGTGCGAAGCAGTTTGACTTATGAATTGCAAATTTTCAATATTTAAGGTTATTTTATTCTTCAATATGCGAATACATTTTTTTTTTAAACGCAAATTGCATTTTTAAAGTGTTATTGTTCTTTTACATTTAATGTAAAAGAACACTTCAAAAATAAAAGCTAAATAAGTGCGCTTTGACCATTTTTTAAACCAACATCATCAGTGTGGTAGTGCCTAAATGGAGTTCGTGAGCCTCTTAGGCAGAGCAGCGAGGCTAATAAATAAATCTAACTTGTTTTGCTGTACAAATTTTGATACATCTTAGATGTGAAACATAAAATGAATTTAATTTTTACATTGATATGAAACATTGAAGAGGGATTTGAATGCGATACCCCCAACTGCTTTTTCATTGCTATATCTTTATAATCACAAAGCTCAAAACCCAATGATATATATTTAACTAGATGTCTAACTTCGTATAAATTCCGTAAAAAAATATGAAGCAAGTTTTTGAAGGTTATAAAGCCGGTAGCCGCAGCAAAGAAAAAAACATTTTGGCGATGTTAACTTTTTAAATGTTAAAAATATCTATTTATAAACTGTTATTTAAAAACAGCGTTTGTAGATAAAGAAAGTTAGAAGTTATTATATAATACAAAGATATTACATTTTTACTTGGCAAATATAAATATATGTTGGCAAAAAATATGTTTTTGACTTTTACAACTGTAACTTAAAAGTACCCTATTGGACCCCTTTAAGTTATTGTTATAAAAGAACACATATTTCATTATGAAAATAAATCAAAAGTGTTGCTGATATAAATAGGTGTAAATTTTTATTTTTAATGTAGGTTTTCAATTAAAAAATTTAAATTAGTTCAAAAAACTGTAACACACAGTTAACAGTTACAGTTAAGAAATTTTCAGAAATAATAAAATTTTTGTTTTAAAGAATTAATTTTATTTTTTGGCATAAATAGCTTACAAATAATATTGAATATTATTATTGTAATTTTTCATAAACCTTTGAACAAAACAAGCTTATTGGACTGTTGCCGTAATCCAATCTTTCCTTTATGCAACTCATTTCTAGTGTACAGCTGACCATTTGAGTGTAGACGCAATGTTAAATATTTTTCTATAATTTTTTTTAAAAGCTGTGAAGAATGCATGTCTTCAGTCAAAATCTCATGTTCTAAATCATGCATATTTAGTTCAGTAAACAGTGCGTCATTTGCAAGTTTTTGATTTATAAAGTGCACCAGATAGGTTTTAAGATTTTTTTTAGAAGATATTTTTAAATTATGGGGGTCTGCCCCACACACCAAAACTTTAAAAACGTGCTCACATTTTTCAACAATCTTTAAAACACTACAGGACGGAAAGATTAAACCACCTTGATTTTTAAAAGTTGTAAAACTTTGCCACGATGAACTGCAAAATATAGAATACTCATGATCAGTGGATAAAGTCTTCGGAGAAATTAAACTATTGGCACAAGTCAGACATGTAATTTTACTATAAAGTTTTCTTACAATGAACCCTGCAATATATCCAAGTATAGCTTCTTTATAAATTAAAGTAGAGACTGATGAAAGACAACCAGCAAGGTCTTTAAAATAGTTAGAATCCTCACTAGATATTATATTTTGCTCAACAAGAGGAGATCTCCTTTTACTCCACTTTAATAAAAAGATTGAGCCAGAAAATTTTTGGTCAAAAGTAAGGCAGTTGCTAAACTTTGATCCTATGATAGAGTTTCTTAATAAAGTTCTTTTTAAAGCAGATTTTAACTGACGTGCATCTGGATTGTTATTGAAACCATTTTTGCCTCGAATACAAGCAAATAATAATTCAACATGATCTTGTGACAGTTTATGTTAAAATAAATTCAAAAGGATTCTCATGTCTAGATAAAAGGTTAAGGGATAAATCTCTAACACTTGTGGCTGCTACAATGAAACCAAGTACAAATGTCTTTCTTCTGTGTTTAATTAAAGAAGTTTTAGATAGGTCTGATAAGTTAACTAAGTAATTTACAGATTTTTCTATGGTTTCTATCCATTTTGGAGCTTCATTCAAAAACAAAGGTTTTTTAGATCCTTTTTCAAAAAGGTTTTTAGAGTTTAACAAGTCGAATAATTTATCTAAAGTTCTAATAAAATTAATTGTGCCTTGGGCATCAATAAAAGTTGGATGACCTGAGACCATCAAAAACTCTATAGCATCAGCAACTGAATTACTTAGCGTTTGAGCTGCAATTTTAACATTCATTTTATGTCTGCGAAAGTCAATGTGGTAATTGCCAAGTTTATTTGCAAACTTAAATCCTTCTTCTTCTTGCAGTTTATGCAATGCTTTAATATGGTCCCACTTTATATATTGATTTTGTTCATCAACAAAGATACCAATACTACACAGAGCGTTTCGAGCTAATTTAAGCATATGACAAGGATTAGGGATATAATATATAGGATGATCATATTCAGGATGGGGAAAACTACCACACATCTCTTTAATTTTACTTCCGAATGAACACCCAAGATTCTTCATTGCACTAAAGTTGGAAATAAGTCCATCACATGTTATACTCCAAACATTCAGATTATAAGTAGCGCATAAATGTAAAGCATTTTTAATTAGACAACTTAAATCTGTTGAGGAAATTTTATCACACAATATATAGCCTATAGGACATTTCCAATGGCCTTTCAATCCAACAACCATAAAAATAAGTGCTTCTGTTGCTAATTTATCTGGGTCATAGGCTAGAATATTGTTTCCAAAACTAGAAAAACCTTCATATGATCCAGTAACATTATCATACCGCAGAGCAGCCCTGATATGCATAGAATCAAATATTAATGCGCAATCTTTGTATGATGAATCCTCAAATGTCTTATTTTGTAAAAACTTGAAAACATCTCCAAAAAACCCAGGCAAACAATCTACAGATGAGGTCCAGTTTGAAAGTGAGCTTACGGCAGGTAATGAGAATGTAGATTTAACAAATTCATATGCTCTTGGAGAATAAAAGTGCAGTGTTAAAGCAAATTTTTTAACTTCTTCAGAGTATCTATAACCTTTATTTTTTTTGCCTCTATTTTTTAATTCAGATTTCAAAAGTTCTTTAGTCAGTCCAGAGAAGTTGTTCTCAAGTAATTCAGCAACATCAATGGAAATAATTTTTTTTTTCTCCAAGTTTTGAATAACTTTGCTAAGTGAAGCAATTTTTTTATCTTTTCGTTTAAGCTTTTGTTTTAATATTTTAATCTTTTTTCTAAGTAATAGTTTTTTTGGAGAATTTTGTTTAAGTATTTTTTCCTTAATAGTATTTGTAATATCAAGCTCTGTTACCTCTTTATTCGAGATAGAACAAATTGTTTTTTTAATGTGTGATGTATCATCATTATATAGCTGATTTCGCTTGTTATTTTTGTTCAATGATTCATGAAAGTCAAATATTGAAGGCACAATATTTTTTTTCAGCACACGTTTCCCATTCTCTTGACACTCAAAATCTTCTAATTTAAAATGTTTACTGCAGATTCTACTATGTTTACTAGGTGTAATTTGTAAACATTTAGTTGCTGTTGCCCATTTTTTACATAAAATTTCATCATTTAAAGGGAATCTGTGAAAAGAAATTAAACTACTTTTATCAAATCTGCTTTTACAGTTGTAAACTGAACAATTAATAACCATGTTTATTATTTGTTACTCTAAAAAAATAAAAAGTATTGTTTTCAAAAATATATCTTTTATGTTTTATAAATACATACACACACACTCAAACACATTATCCCAGACTTTATCATATATAATATCATTTGAATATATATATATATACATTTTTTAACTGAGACATTTATTTAGACTTGCTCCAGATTATATCATATATAATATAATGTATATATATATATATATATATATATATATATATATATATATAT